GTTTGCTTCTCTCGAGGTCGACCCCGGACCCCCAGTGTGCCTGGCTCAGGTCGACATCCAGGATGCGTTTTATCACCTTCTCCTCCCCTCTGAGCTTGTGCCTCTCTTCTGCCTCCGAGACGTCACGGCTGGACTCGCCGGAGTGGTTGAGCTCGACGGTGCGCTTGTCCCACCATCCCAGCTGGTGTGTCCTCATTTGCGTGTTGTGCCTATGGGGTGGAACCATGCGTTGTGGTGGTGCCAGCGAATTCACGAGTATCATGCCTTTCGGCAGCCCGGCGTGACCCTCGCTAACAAGCTCTCGGATAAGAAGCCGGGAGTGCAGTCAGGACGCTCGGGGTTTGCTCACACCGAATACGTAGACAACTTTGCTGCCGTCGGACGCCGGGTCGAAGAGGTCGACGCCGTGGCCGATTCCGTTCACCAGGCTCTTACCGCCGCGGGGCTTAGGATGCACCCTCGTGAGAGCTCAACCGGTGGCTCCGTCTTGGGATGGGACTTTAGTGAGGAGTGTCCCCTGGTTCGCGTGAGCCCTCGCAGAGTTTGGAGGCTCCGTCTTGGCATCGAAGGTCTCCTGGAGGGGGGCTTTGCTACTGGCAGGGGCCTCGAGGCCATCATAGGACATTTCACGTTCGCCGCTCGAATTCGACCAGAGGCCCTCTGCGTGTTTTCAGCGGCGTACGCGTTCGCTCAGCGGGGGGCCGAGACCCGTCGTAGGTTGTGGACCGCCGTGCGGAGGGAGCTTCGCTGGGCAATAGGGGTCCCCCCCCTCCTCCGTCGTCGCCTCGATGCCGAGTGGAGCCCAAAGGTGCGGTGTGCAGGCGCTTCCCCCTGGGGGCGAGGTGTGTGCTTGGCGGAGCGCGATCTCCAGTCCGTCGCGGAGGCTGGCTGGTGGTCAGACCGGTGGCGCTTCTCGCGGGGGGCTGAGGATCGGGTTCGGCCGAGGGACGCCTCGCTCCGGGAGGAGCTCAGCATGGCCGCGGCGGCCGGTCTGGATGACCTGGGCCGTGTCGGGACGGCCCGGCACCTGGGTGCCCTCGGCGAGGTTGACCGGAGCGGGGTTGTCCCAGAGGTCGGGCCTCAGATCCTCCAGGGCTCCTGGACCACCGTCTCGGCCGGCCGCTGGAAGCGTCGGGAGGCGATGCCCATCCTGGAGGGCCGCGCTCTGGTCTGGGGAGTCCGCCACGTTAGCCGAGGTTTAAGCGAGTTTGGCAAGCGAGTCTTGTTTTTGACCGATGGGCTGTCCGAGGTCCTGGCCCTCGAGAAGGGCCGATCGTCGAGTGTAGCCTTAATGGGAGTGTGCAGGCAGTGGGCGGCGACGGTATTTGCGGCCGACTTGTATCCTCGTGTTCGGTGGATTCGGTCTGAGTTGAACGTGGCCGATGGGCCCTCTCGACGCTACCAGCCGAAGCCATTTGGGTTCAAACCAGCAGGCTTTCGGCCTCCGCCAGGACTGGCAGAGCCAGATGTCGACGGGGCTTCCTCGCCCGCGCAGTGGTGTCCCGAACCTGGAGGCCCCTCGAGACTCGCCCCCCCCGTCGGGCAGCCTGGTCCGACCGGGTGGCGCGGCAAGCGGCGGGCGAGCCCGGCCGCGCCGCCGGCCCTAGCGCGGGCTGCGCCGCCGCCGCCGGCGCCGCGTGTGCGCCCTGCGGGCCGGGCCCGGGCGGCGGCGGCGACCCGACGGGTCAAGCCGCGGCCGGAGGTGCAGGCCACCAGGGCGGAGCGTGCCGCCGCGCGGCAGGGGGGGTTCCCCGAGGACAAGCGCACGACGGACGGCGAGGGCCTCACGTTGCTGGAGAGGGAGAGCGTGGGAGACCACAATCAGCGGGTCTACCAGTCAGCCCGCGCCGAGTTCAGGAGCTTCGCCGTGACCCTGGGCCTCCGCCTCCGGACCGCCGCAGATTACGACGAGATGGCCCTGGAGTGGGCCCGCCAGACGTTCTTCGACGGCGGCGACGCGCAGGAGGGGGCCAGGCTGAAGGCGGTGCTGCAGTACTACTACCCGCGGCTGCTGGCCGCAGTCGGGCTGCCCAGGTTCGCCCGCGCTCTGAAGGGGTGGAGGCGGCTGGTCCCGCCTCGCAGCCGGCTCCCGCTCCCGTGGGAGGTCACGTGTGCGGTGGCAAACAAGCTAGCAGCCAACCAAATCCTGCACGCCGCGCGCCTCATCGTCGTGATGTTCGTCTTCTACCTTCGGCCCGTGGAGCTGATGTCGCTGACCGGGCGGCAGGTGGTGCCGCCGGTGCGAGCGGCCGGGCACGACGCCTGGTCGATCGTGCTGTTCCCAATGGAGGAGGAGACGTCCAGCAAGACTGGCGCGTGCAACGAGAGCCTCCTGGGCGACCTGCCGTTCTACAACTTCATCGGGGACGTGCTGAAGCTGCTCAAGGCCGGCGTCGGCGACAAGGAGCTGGTGGCGCAGGTGCGATACGTGCAGCTGGCGCGGGCGTTCCGAGCGGCGGGCCAACAGCTGGGGCTCGAGGGCCCGCCCGGCCTGTACCAGCTGCGGCGCGGCGGGGCGTCCGCCGACCTCGCCAGCGGCCGCCGCAGCATCCCAGAAGTGAAGGCTCGCGGCCGCTGGGCGAGCGACAGCTCGGTGACGAGGTGCGGCAAGGGCGGCCGCATCGCCGACCAGCTGGCCAAGCTGCCGGAGCCTTTCCTCGAGCACGCCATCGCCTGCGCCAAGAAGATTGGCGGCATCCTCTGCGAGCGCTGCCCACCTTTGCCGCCCGTGCAGGCAGCGCCGTAGCGCTCGAGGTGTTCAGCGGCTCTGGCAACCTCAGCCAAGCCCGGCGGCGGCGGCAGCGAGTGGGACCTCCGCTGGGGCGACGAGTATGACCTGACCCGCCGGCGTGCTCGGCGCCCGGTGCGAGGATGGGTCAACAACGGGCTGATCGCCGCCGTGTGGCTGGGGACCCCCTGCCACAGCTGGAGCCGCGCGCGGGACATCCGACCCGGGCCACCGCCCCTTCGGAGTGATGTGCACGTAATGGGCTTGCCCGACCTGGCGCCTCGAGACGCCGAGAAGGTTAGGGTCCCGGCAACGCCATGATGAAATTTTCGGCCTCGCTTTTTACCTTGTGCCAGGCCGTGCGAGTGCCAGTCGCTATCGAGAATCCTCTTTTGTCTAGAATATGGCTGAGCCCACAGTTCAGAAGCCTGCTGAAAAAATGCCGCACTGTCGTGCTGGATTTCTGCCAAGTCGGCCAATCGTGTCGGAAACTGACTCGCGTCGTGTGCGATCATGTTGACCTGCAGCCTCTGGGTCGCCTTTGTTGCGGCCCCCGTGGGATCTGCTCCCGCACAGGTCGGCCGCGTGACCAGCTTCAAGGGAAGAGCCCTGCTGGCATTTTCCTCACACTCCTTGCCGAAGCTTACCCAGCCGACCTGTGTGCCAGCATCGTTCGCTGCTTCCAGCTTGCACTTGCCGAGAGACAAGTACAGAGAGTCAAAAAAAATGGTGCGGCTGAAGCCAGTTGCGCTTTTGGAGAGAAGTTCCGTTCTATGCAAAAAGTGCTGGAGTTTGCTTCGCGTCTTGAGTTGGGTGTCGTTCCGAGCTCGAGACCCTTCTGTACTGTGATTGCAAAGTCGGGGGACTTGTCGACGCCAGAGCATCGCTTCGCACGCCTGGCCGAAAATAGGCCTGGGCGTTTCATTTGACAAAGCTTGCGGATTAATGATATGCAGCAGACCGAAACACGCCGTCTCCGATCCATAGTTTTTCCTGGCCAACCGTCTGCCCCACCGCCGCCCTCTCCTTTTGAAGATGACAGGAACGAAGCTGGAGTTAGCTTCGCGTCTTGAGTTGGGTGTCGTCCCGAGCTCGAGACCCTTCTGTACTGTGATTGCCAAGTCGGGAGACTTGCCGACACCAGAGATAGCATCGCTTCGCACGCCTGGCGGATATATATATATATATATATATATATATATATATATATATATATTTATGTGTATGTATACATAGGTATACATAGGCATGCACACAACACATGCACCAAATGTGCAACAGGGCTTTGAAAAGCCAGGACATAGGCCAGGCTGGGGTATCGGACACCCCGCTGGTTGTCACTTGGCTGCAGGTATCCTTCGAATCCTGAACCCCAGCCAGCGTCTCAGAGATCAGAGACGCGTGGTTGCCTATGGCCTGTCCTTCTGGAGCTCGGCGCGTGATCTCCAACGATCGTCGGATCACCGCGCGTTGTGTCTCGCGGGCGGTGGGGGGGGCGCTGTCTGGTGGCCTCGCTTCCCGTCCCGCGGCGGGTGGATTATGGATCGGCACGAAAGGAGTGGGCACGGAAATAATGGGTACGATGCCCAACAGCAGTTTCTGTTCATTGTGGACAGGACTCGCTGTCCGCGACGCCGCGGACGTTTTCCATTTGAGACAGAAGGCCGCCTGCCCAACAGCGGCCGCTGTCGGTTTTGGACAGCGTTTGTTGTTGGGCATCGTACCCATTTTTTCCCTACCCTATTCGGTCGTCCAAAGTGGACGGGGGCTCTGGCGGCAGGTCGCGGGTTGAGGTTGGGGAGCTTTCCCTTGGCACAGCACAGTGAGTCCAGGCTTCCCAAATGGGGTCCGAGTGGATGGCGTCGGACCATCGCGCCGCATCGCCAATGTATCGCCGATGCGGCTTGATGTGGAGCCCGACTGTCCCCACGCAGACATCGCCAATGCATCTAGTCTGGCCGGGGGCTGCGGGAGACAGCCAAAGAGATCAGATCTCACCTGAGCTGCCTCCGACGGGGGGCGCGGGCAGAGGCAGACGAGGTCACGCCGAGGAGGGCTCTCCTCACGGCTGCCATCCGGCCGCTGTCCCCCGCAGCGCCAGTCCGCAGTGGCCGCCATCCATCCCTCCCCTCTCCCCCTCACCTTTCTCCCCTTCGCCCCTCTCCCTCTTCCTTTTCTCCACTCCTTCCCTCCTCTCTTCCCCCCCATCCCCCTTTACACTTCCCCCCGCTTCTCCTTCTTCCCCACTGCACTTTGGCCTCCGCTTCGGAAGGTTCATGCGCCAGATCGCCGCGCGAGCCGGGGGCTCGGCTGCAGTCAGCTGTGGCGGTTGGCGGCGGGGGCCGCGGCGGCGATGTAGCGCAGTCGCGGCTTCGGCACGGCGGCAGCCACGGCAGCGGGCGCGGCAGTGGCGGTGACGGTGGAGGTCCTGAGGCCATCGTTGTGCTCGCCGGTCCAGACCCAGCGGGGCGGAGGATGGGAGGGCGGGGGGGGGGACCTAGCAGGGGCCGCGGTGAGCGGTGGCCGTCGTCTCGTTGGGTGGTGGTCGGTGGGTGTGGTGTCGCTGGTGGCGGGGGTGGCGCCAGAGGTGGTGGTGGTGGTAGCACAAGCGGCGTGGGTCGGTGTGGTGTCGCCAGCGACGGGGGTACCACTGGCGTGGGTGTCATTGGAGGGTGGTCGGTGTGGCTCAGCGGTGGTGGTGGTGGCACCAGCGTCGTGGGTGGTAGTGGATGGCGGCGGAGGAGGTGGTGGTTGATGGCGGCGGTGGTGACGGCAGCGGTGGTCCCTGCAGTTCTGGCGAGGGTAACCGTGGTGGCAACGGCGGCGATTATGGCAGAGGCGGCTGTTGCACTTGGGGTGGCGGCGCAGGGGGCAGATGGGGAGGTATGCAGTGGTGGATCGTCGCGGGAGCACGAGCCAGCACCCAGGACACTGGATTGGGTAGTCTTTCTTTTCGTCTTCCTCTTTGGAGGACCGTAGTGGTGGCGGTCACGTCATCACTCGCGAGAGCGAGTAAGCATGTTTTGTGACCCCTTCGCGCCTCCCGCTGTGTGTTCTTTCGGGTGGAGGATGGAAGAGAAGGAGGAGGCAGGGGGAGGAGGAGGGAGGGAGATGATGATGATGATGATGATGATGATGATGATGATGATGATGATGATGATGATGATGATGATGATCATGATGATGATGATGATTATGATGCTGATGATGATGATGGTGGTGGTGATGATGATGATGATGCTGCTGATGATGATGATGATGATGATGGTGATGTTGATGGTGATGATGATGATGCTGATGATGATGATGATGAGGATGAGGATGAGGATGAGGATGAGGACGCTGATGCTGATGCTGATGCTGATGATGATGCTGATGATGATGCTGATGATGATGATGCTGATGATGATGCTGATGATGATGATGATGATGATGATGACGCTGATGATGATGATGATGATGATGATGATGATGATGATGATGATGATGGTGGTGGTAGTGGTGGTGGTGGTGGAGATGATGATGATGCTGATGATGATGATGATAATTCTGATGATGATGATGATGCTGATGATGATGATGATGATGATGATGATGATGATGGTAATGGTGATGATGCTGATGATGATGATGATGATTCTGATGATGATGATGATGATGATGATGATGCTGATGATGATGATGATGATGATGATGATGATGAGACAGCGACGACGACGACGACGACGACGACGACGATGATGATGATGATGATGATGATGATGATGATGATGATGATGATGATGATGATGGTGATGGTGATGCTGATGCTGATGCTGATGCTGATGCTAATGATGATGATGATGATGATGATGATGATGATGATGATGATGATGATGATGATGATGATGATGACGCTGCTGCTGCTTCTGCTGCTGCTGAAGATGAGGACGAGGATCAATTTGAACCGAAGACTCATCAACGATGTTGCAATGACCCCTCCTCCAAGTCCCCTCTTCATAGGCCCCTGCAAGGGTTCATTGTCACCCAGAGAAGTGCCCCGTCGGAAAACAACCGCTTGAAAACCATGAATTGTGCCAGAACGCCGTTCCTGGGACCTCAATGCCGCGAATCACCGTTACTGCTGCGTCCTGGCGATCCTGAATCGCGCCAGAACAGCATTCCTGGGACTTCAACACCGCGAATCAACGGAACTGTTGCGCCCTGACAGTCCGACATCGTGCCACAACACCATTTCTGGAATGCTGGCAATGAGATTCCTGGGAACTACTATATGTTCTCAGAACGAATGTGCGCGGCGCTAAGGCGAGAGCTACATTTTGAAAACGGCTCGCCCTCCATCCGTGAAGCCCTGGCAAGTTTTAGAAGGAATGTGCGCGGCGCTAGGGCGAGAGCCACATTTTGAAAACGACCCTCCTCCATCGGTGAAGCTCTTTTCATTTTCAAAGACGGATGTGCACGGCACTAAGGCGAGAGCTACATTTTGAAAGCGACCCGCCCTCCATCAGTGAAATTCTGATCTTTATTCAATTGAACGCCCCTGAGGAGGCAGACACCGCCGCCCCACCATTTCCGGATCCTGGAGGCTCTGTGGAAGTGGCGGCCGCTCCGCGCGCGCGACTATGAGATGTTGTGGTGCTGGTGCTGGAGCTTCCGTTTGGAGGCCTCGCGGGGCTCTATGGAGAGGACATTGGGCTCCTCAGCGAGCTCTCTGTCGTATGACCCTGAGCCCAGGACGGCCGCAGAGAGGCTGGAGGAACTGAACGCAGCGA